AATTTTATAACAAGTGTAGAGTCTAAGAGAGGTTTCCAAACTGCTGGTTATATTTGCAACAAGTTAAAATCCAGCCTTATAGAAAATACCTTAGACGCTCTAATATTTTTAAGATATTTTGATAATAAATTCGTGTGTGCAATATCCAATATTACATGAAAATGTTTGTTCTCTTTAAATTTTATAGGTTTTTATTTACCTTTATTTATGAAATGGATACTAATTAGCTTTAAAAACATTGGACTGAAATAAATGTTAATTTTAGAATGAACATGAAATAATAGAAATATATTTCTATTACACACATGTTCACGGATGTTTTTTGCATCATAATAATTTAAAAGGTAACCGTGTCTCAGGATATCCTAAAAAACCTCGTGATCCCGGGATTGTCCCTTTTAAATCCCGAAATCCCGGGATTTGAAACGTAGCTCGGGATTGGATGACTTAGTTAATACATATATTGCGCATATCGCTAGCTTAGAGTGAAAAGTTGCTAAGTCCACTTTTTATGAAAACTCATATTTTGACATAGGAGGCTAAAGAAATTGAATACGCATCGTTTCGAAAATTATAAAGGTACTCGTTTTGTTTTTTCCTCATCATAAGCAATAAAAGGAAAAATTGCTAAGTCCAAAATAAGCACCACAAATCCGATAAGGCCAAAATAATACGACATGTTTTAATAAATATCGAATCCTTTTGATTCTTATGGAGTTTTGCTTTGCTTTAAACGCGCAAACTGTTTGATTCAAAGTATTGCGACATAGTTAAAGAAAATGGCTATAGGAAGATTTTTTCCTCTCCTGTAAAATTTTTAAAATGGGACTTAGCAACTTTTCTTTCTAAGCTAGCGATATACAAAATTTAAATGTATATATGTATGTACACACCCTGTACTGCTGCTACATGAGCAAATAAACTTTGACAGACGATTAAAATTCCACATTAAATTATGCATACAGACGCACATGGAATATTACCACAACACCGTACATCACAGTCAAAATAAATTAAGTTTAAGTTATATTTTTTTAGGAATCCTTAAAACTTCTTAACGAAAGCGGTGGGAATTTTTCAAGAGTTACTTATGAAGACGTTCACATTTCCCAATGCATAATGCATCGGCAGTACGCCAAGTTTCAGATTTTTCCCCTTAATTTGATATTTTTATTATTTATGCTAAATGGTATTAATATTTGGCATACAAATGTATGTAGGTACATATCGTTGCCTTAATATAGAAAGGCCCTATCTCACATCGTCGCTGAAATACAAAAGGCTGTAACTAACTAAAATTCCAAAATTCACTTTTTGATTGATTGTGATGCAGTCATTAAATTTTGAATCCCTAGATCGTTTGATGGGATACAAAATTTTTGTTAGTTACGGCTTTTTTGCATTTCAGCGACGATGTGAGATAGGGCCTTTCTATATTAGGGTAACGATATGTACATTTATGTGACGTTCCATGTCAACCGGAACAGAGCTATATCCAAAAATTGGCGCAGGACAAAAAAACGTTCTACGGCTAAAAATGTTTGTGCACTCTTGCACTTTTAAAGGCAGTGTGGCGATTTTGGAAATTCAAGAAGTGATCCAGTTCATCAAACTCCCGAACTGACAAATAATATCATAAATAAAGTTTACAAAACCAAATATATGAAATGAAGAGATACTTTTTTAAGCATTTTTGGGCTCGTCGAGAACAAATCTGGTGTCGGATTTTAAAAGTTTTTGGTGTTGCTGGATTCAAATCTGCTGTCAAATTTTAGAATTTCAAAATGGCTGATCCAAGATGGACGAAAGTTTTTTTTAAATGCAACATTTTTTCTCGAAAGTTGAAGCTCGGGGATTTTCGGGGTTGCTGAACTCAAACCTGGTATCAGAAATTCTATATGACGGATCCATATTTAATTTACCGTTGATCACAGAAAAGTTAAAATCGAACGTAAGTGTTTGGCGTATGACTCATACGGTATGAGTAAAATTCTCATCTCATCTGGGTAATTCATACGCCATGTACGTACGTTCGATTTTAACTCTTCCGTAATAAACGGTATATTAAATTTGGATACCCATTTAGAATTTTTGTATTCGGCGAGCCCAAAATACTTAAAGAAGTATCTCTTCATTTCATATATTTGGTTTTGTAAACTTTATTAATGATATTATTTGTCGTTATTTTAAAGATTAACTAGCCACCCTGCAGGGTAAGCTTCTAGTTGTGAACTAGAATTCTACCAGTTTGCGTTTCAGCTCAACTAGTTCACGTTCTATCCTTTTTCAATGTTAGCGACTGGTACTTTTAACATTGCGATGTCCTATGAGATGTCAATTGTCAGGCTATGCATCAGCATCTACTAGTAGAAATACTAGTAGCATCATACCAGTTGATGAGCTAGTCTGCCAATTCATCCCCCATGAAAAGCATTAGTATGCTTCTTTGCTCGCGGCGTTCCAACAGTCGCAATGGCCGACAAAGCAAAGCACTCGCGTGTTATGCCTGAGGTACAAGGTTCAAGCCCTGGCGCAGGGAAAATTTTTTTATTTTATTTTTTTTTTGTTTATAATATTTCTTTTATTTATATTTTTTATTTAGAGTTTTGTTTGTTATTCTTAAATTTAATTTAAAAAAAAAGTATTTTTTTTTATATTTGTTTCTTTTTTTTTTTGTACTGCAACTAGATTTTTAAGTTTGTTATTTATATTTAAATTGAAATAATTATTCCTACTTACATTGATCTAACTTTAAAAATCTTAACCACCTCCAAGCGGCCTCGAACCTGCGATCTCAGAACCAGAACCAGTAGTCTGCACGTAACGCCACAGCCGACATTTGTAAGAAAAGCAATTAATGGCGTTTTATTTAAGTTCTTCGAAAATGTCGAACTGGTAGACACATACTAGTTTATGACCTAGTATTTTTTCTAACTGGTTTGGGTTTTCACTGCAGGGCATAAGTGTAGTTTAGGATACCCTTTTAATATATTTCTAGCCAAAGACTACGTTCTAAAGTCACTTAAGTTGTTTTATCAAAATGCCACCGATGTGTTTTATGAAGTACATATTAACTTAATTATATTTTCTTTTCTTTGTGTCTGAGTTAAATTAACAGGAATTGGTTAGGATTTGTGATAAAGCTTAATTCCTTATCATACAGCCAAAAATAGCAGTCTATGTGCAAAAATAAGCTTTAAAATTTAGATGCGATTTTATATTTAGCTTATGTTGTTTATAGGTACATACATACATAGATAACGCTATCTCTAGGGGAATATTTCCATAAGGTTAACACTAGTCTGCAAATAGCTAAAAACTTAAGAAGCAAGTGAGACTGACTTCTACAACGTCAATTGCTTTGCATACGTACCAAGTATAATATTCCATAACGCCGAACTACAGAGTGTTGACAATGTATGCTTTTCCAATACGCATCCGAAAAGTTATCGAAACATATCGCTAGAGTAATCAGCGCATCACAAACAAAGTGGATGCTTCGTTTGTTTTTGGTTGCGACCGATGTTTTAAAATAGAAAATTTCGAAAGGTTGTTCATTGTTACATATGGGCGATTCCACCGTCACGGGTTGGACATTTGTACAGAGAAAAATTTCTTTCTTGTTTAAATTTAAGTATAAAGTACTCAACAATTCTACATTTTGATAAAGCTACACCTAATTGACTATAATAAGAGTTATTACAAAATACGAAAAATTTCCAACTTACTTTTATAAGGAAAAAATCTGATTAATTTCTTCTGTCACGGGAGGGACAAAAAAAAGAGCCTGCTTAGTTGGAGCAGATATACTTTATGGAAACTGCGAATTTATTTCACTTTTCGGTGTGAACTTGATGTCTTATAATAAAACAAAGAACCAGGAAAACAAACAAAGCAAAAACTACAAAAAAATAGGCTTTATTATAAAAAAAATCCGAAATTCCTCTGTCACGGGTGGGACAACGTTTGTAACGGGTAGGACACGTACGAATTTTTATATGAACAGGAGCTTTTAGATGGTCCATATATAAAGATTAGTTATTAAAAAATATAAGAAGCCAAGTAGGGGTTAAATTCACTCACGTTTTATCTTACGATGGTGCATTTTATATAGAAGAAAATGCTTAGCACTGTCAGCCAAAAATATTATTAAAAATGTGCGCGATTTCCTAGTGTCTTGATATTTTCACTTTTACGTACTTAAATTTAATGGACTACAAAACTGCATACCTAAAAATTCTGAACAAAAAGTTTAAAATTTTTGGGTGTAATTGTTAAAGTTTGTTGAATTTTTATAATTTTTGTAGGTAATGTGCTAGACTTTTATAAAAAAAACTATAAACATTAGATTAGCAAAATCAAAATCAAAACTGGTCAAAATGTAACTTAACTTAATCAGCTCACCACAAGGGTATATAGATAATGGACGAGTCCGCGCATGGCTCCTCCTCCCCTGCGTCCACCCCAACAAACAAATAAAGCTTATCAGCCCTGTAAACCTACCTCTGGCAACTGTCCAACACATAGCTGTCACGGGTGGGACATGCTTCTGTATTGAATTATTCTTATATAACTACGTGGAAACGACAATGCAATTGTAGTAAATATTTGCAATTAATTTCTAACATTATGTAACAAACACGAAAGACAACCTCAAATTCTTTAATTAAATATAACAGCTTCTAGCTTTTTTTGTCACGGGTGGGACAAGACCAATACTTCTTAATAATAACCCATAATATAGATAAAGCAGTCAAACAATTTAATATATAACACAATTTTATTAAAATCAGATGAGTTCTACTATATATTTTTCTTACCAAACACTTGAATTTGAATCGCAAATTATTTGACAGTGCATTCAATACTACCTACTTTGTACCCAATCAAAAAATTTACTTAGAACTTGACTTCAAAACGTAAAAAAAGGTAATCAAATGCATTTAAAGCTTTAATTTGTTATTTTTTGGTTGATTCAAGATTTTTACAAATGATTTATCGTTTGTTAGTTTTATAAAGAAAATAATTTTTGCACTGAGGTTCACTTTCCCATGGAACTCCCATATGTACATGAGTACTTGTATGTTGAATGTACAAAATATGCAATGTATACTTTTCTCTCAAAGCTTACACTGCTGGAAAATGTAAATAAGGATTAAAATTTAAAAACTAATTATTACAACTAAAGTAAAATCTGTGGAAAATTAACAATAAAATACTTTTTTCGCAAAATCTATAAAGGAACGTTTTATTTCTCAAAAAAAAAACCTGGGTAACAGTTATTCGTCGCCACGCTGTAAATATATTAAGTATTCTCAGCCACCTGTGGTGTAGTGGTTAGCAGTGCGCGCTACCATTCCGCAAGACCTGGGTTCAAGCCGAGCTTTCGACCAACAGCAAATAAAGAAATAAATAATAAAAACAAAAAAGTATATTCTAATAGCGGTCGGCCCTCGGCCGGCAATGGCAAATCTTCCATTAAGTACAGCTTCTCATAAAGTATAATTAGACGACGATAATTTGGTTAATTACAGCTTGTGGTGTAATAAGTTAGCTAACTTTTTTGGTTTTAGTGAAAACGCAATAAGGATATTTAAAGATCACTTAAGCAATAAAGATCACTTAAGCAATGGATAACGCTGCGAAGATAACAGAGGTCTGCGAAATTAAAATACATCTTTGGTTTTTTCTAGCACGTCGAGATTTTTTTATTGGTGACATGTATACATATTTTAGAATTTTTAGCAATTTGCCTGAAAACCCCATATATAAACAAAGTAGATCAGGAAAACGTGTGTAACTTCGAAGTTAACGCTAAGAAAATTGATAACAGCCGGTTTCGCCAGCAGTTTAAATGGAAAATGATTTTTTTATTTTCTGTAAATTTCCATATAAAATTCAAAGAATTAAAATCATTTTTCACTTAAATTGCTTTCGTGAAATTGGCTGTAAAAGTTATTTTCTTAGCGGTAACGTGCATTACCAGCGTTAACTTGGAAGGTTTAGAAAAAACGATTGTCGAATATTTTCCCAACATTGACTCTGAGGATGACTACATCTGGATAACAAACCCGTTCTCATGTGACCCGAGATGACAAATTAAACTTTTGATAACCTTCTGGACATCAGTGAACACAGCACTTTGAATATTAAATACTTTGAATGGAGCCAAGAGAGTTCTGGATGCAAGTGTATGCAGAAAACACTGCTGTTGGCAAGATTGCATTAAAAATACTAGTGACTTTTACTCTTACATTTCTATGTGAGACTGCAATTTCAACAAATAATTTTTAAGCAAAAAACAAAACCGACTTAAATTTCCAAATAAAAATTTAAGACTATCGTTAATCTCTTCATGATGCAATGATCTGATTTAAACCAGATTAGAATGTGAGGTAACACCTTTCCTTTAAAAATAGAATCTATATATTAATACGCTAACATAAATTTTGTCTCCGTTCGTTTGGCGATTCTACCGAACCGATTTCAAAACCAAGACCACCGTTGGAAAGGCATTTTTCCGTAGATGAGCAGAGTTTTTCACAATTGGTTGAAAATTACGGCCAAAACCGTCGTTTAAACATTTTTGCTGCAACATGTTCAATTTGACATGTTTCGCCTGTTGTTTCACTACACATTTGAAATTAAGCTTTGAAGTAAAGATAAATATGAAGATGAAGAAATAAATGATAACGATGAAGTAAAAAAAAGAAGGAAAAAGTGAAGATAAAGGCGAAAATGGAGACAATGACAGATACATAAGAACTAGGGCAACTTAAAGGGTAAGAACATTTCTTGCATTTATGAAGTGAAACTTCTTTACCGGCAGTTGGTTGGTTGGGAGTAAATTGTCAAATTCAAGGGGAATAATGCACATGGAAATGGTTCTCAGCGGTTTAGCGGTTTGAGAATAAAAACAAGAACAAAGATGCCTAAAGGGACAGGCGAAAAGGAATATCAAAGTAAATTTAAACACTTTGAGGTAAAGGTGAAGAGGAATATGCAAAAATAAAGATAAATATGAAGTAAAGGATGAGGATGAAGATCGATATTGTTATCGATATAAAACTCGATATTTTTATCGATATAATAATCGATATTGCTATCGATAAAATAATCGATATTGTTATCGATACTGTTATTGATTAAATAATCGATATTGTTATCGATCCAATAATAGATATTGTTATCTGTATAATAATCGATTAAATAATTGATTTCGTTATCGATTTAGTCATTTATATTGTTAACGATATGTACAATAATCGATACTGATGATTGTTATATTTATCGATGTGTTTAGGCCAGCGTCTTAAATACGCCATTTAAGAGCCACCCTAATATTTAACATTTGAACATAAGACAACAGTTAACTGCTTTCTATTGTCGAACGCTAGTTATGTTAAAATTTCCCTCGCTTAAAAAGCCGTTCGAAAGGCTAACGTGATTAAAAAGAAAAAGAACAGATTTTACTTGCTTACCGAATATCCATTTGAGTAGACGTCTTGCAGCCACCAATTTTCATCGCCTCATCCAGCTACATATATATATATAAGGTAACCTGAAATACAATTGTACATATTAATATATTAAGCAATAAAACCATTTAAATTCTATTTGCTCATACAAACTTTCTTGTGTACATTTTTTCTAATTAAAATACATCGGTGCGAACTTGAAACTGGGCCATTACCAATTTGCGGCACATCCGAAAACTGCGCTCTTAACCATCTTTGCCCGATGAACACGATGATTTAATCGATCTCACAATCGTTGTTTTTCTCTATATGTTTATGGATATTGTTATCGGTATTTTTATCGACACTGTTATCAACAGGGTTATCGATATACTAATCGGAACATGGAATGTGATCACATTACATGATATCACATCACATATGAAGAGACATCACATGATATTACATCACATAATATGATATCACATCACACGATATCACGTGACATGACATTATATGATATGACATCACATTATATGGCATGACATCACATGACTTGACATCACATGATATGACATCGGATGACATGACATGATACAGACGTGGCATCACATGATAGGGCATCATATGGTATGACATCATATGACATGACATGAGAGGATATGACAACACATGACATGACATCCTATCACATCACATAAAATCACGTCACATCTTATCACGTCATCGCACCTCATCTCATCTACGTGAATAGAAAAAGAAAAGGATGTAAGCAAGGATGTGAAAGATAAAAACAAAGATGAAGACCAAGGGTAAAGTTACCGATTTCAAAACCAAAAACACCGTTGGAAAGGTAATTTTCTGTAGATAGGAAAGTTTTTATAGTTTCGAAATTGGTTGAAAATCGTCGTTTAAAAATTTCCATATTTGTGTATGGTTGTTTTTGCAACCTGTTCAATTTAAGCTGTTTCGCATTTTGTCTTACTTCGTATTTGAAATTAAACTTTGAAATAAAGATAAATATGAAGATGAAGAAACAAGTGATAACGATGAAGACAAAAAAAGGCAAAAGTGAAGGTAAGGACGAAAATTGAGATAAAGGCGAAAATGGAGACAATGAGAAATACATAAGAATTAGGTTAAAAGAATTTCCGAAGGAATCGAAATAAAATCAGCCATAAAGGTTACTGAAATTTATCGAATCATCGAGGTTTATAATTATCGAAATTTATCCATGCTTATTAAGTTACCGCAACGTATGGAATTATTTAAACTTATCAATGTTTATTGAGTTGTCGAAATTTATAGACACAGCAACTTAGTTGTCCAAATTTACGGATAGTTATCGAGCTTTAAAAACGTGTGGGATTAATGAAATTTGTCAAGTTAAAGAAATGTATCAAGTTATCGATATTTATAGAATTATCTCTATTTATAGACTTAACGAAATTTATCGAGGTGTCGTAATGCATGGAGTTCTTTCAACTTATATAGTTATAGATAATTATTGATCGACTGAAATTGGTTGGTTCAACGAAGCGAAGTTTTTGGAATTTTCAAAATATATCGATTTATCGAAATTTCAAGGTTATATAAGCTTATCGATTTATCACTGCTTATCGAATTTAATCGTCTTAACAGAGTGTAACGAGTTATCAAAATGTTTAGATAGTTTTAGAAAAATGTGGAGATGTCAAAAGTAAAAATTTATAAAGTTATCCAAAGTTTTTACATTTTTGAGTTATCTAAATTTATCGAGTTAACGAATTTTGTTGAGTTATCGAATTTTAGTGTTCTTGAAATTCATCGAACTATCGAAATGTATCAAATCATTGAAATTTATCGATAAACTGGAATGTATCGGGTCAATTCCAAGTCCTGCCGAAGTCCTCCAAAGACCTTCTCTGATAAAAAAAAATTTAGTTACGTTTTAGCTGAAGATTTTCCGGTTAGTTAATTTGTACCGTATAAGTTTTGCTACGTGTTAAGTTAGAAAACCTCTCCAACGCTTCTAAAACTAGAAAAACTGTCGAATTTCGACAGTAACTGGCACTCTAGTTATAGTAATTGGTTAACGTGGCCCCAAGTTATGCGGTAGCATATATAAAAAATAATAAAAAATATTCCGACGAATTGATAACCTTCTCCTTTTTGTGAAGTCGGTTAAAAACAAATACACCAGCAAGCTTTCAGCGTTAAATGATTTCAGAGTAAAATTGTCAAAGCTTCCAATAAACTTAAAGGAAATAAAGGAGCATAAAGTTTGCATTGCGTTTTCTTGTTTTCGTATGCATTTGAAGATTAGGAGGGCAGCGAATTTTTTTTAGCACAAGGGTGCCGCGGTGAAAAAAAGTTTAGGAACCCCTGCACTATAGAGCCGGATTATTGTTGCCGCCAGGGAGTGAAGAGGAAAAAGTTCTTCAAATTTATTTAATTTTGCGATTAACCGTGTTATGAAATGCTGCACAATTGGGGAATTTCAAGATCGTCTTCGCGGACATAACAACAAAAAGCAGCAAATGACTACCAAACCATAATCTTAGCAGATGAATGTGCCAATGAAAATCGTAAACGAGAATTGTTGGTGAAAACGTGGACCAAAAAGTTTCGATAAAAAAAAATTTATTCTAAATAAGATAAGTAAAAATAAGCCTCACGGTTAGGCTTGCCAAATGTCCGGATCTATGAGCCGCCGTGCTGAGGGAAAAATCTGCGCGCTGCGGGTTTACCATTAATTTCTTCGAGTTGCAGTTAAAAACTTCGAGATCCTCCAATTTACTGGAAAAAAAAGTTTTTTTTTTTTTAATCTTCGTGTATGATAAAAAATAAGATATTCTGTAAACACATACATTTGTTACGTTGTATGCATTTGAATCGCTCTTCTAGTACCATTTAAAATATTTTAACAGCCTTGTCATTGTTGAATCTATTATCGATTCGCCACTGCATTTCAAAGAAATATATCTGATTTATAAACCTGCCTTTACGTCCATCAAATCAATCACTTGATACAACTAGCGTATACGGAGTTCAGAGAATCGCCGAAGGTAATTGGTGAAATTCTGCCTATGCCAGTAAGCAACGAGCAAACAGTTGGACGCATCCAAGAAACAGGATAATGGTAAAACATATATTGTCCCAATTTGGCAAGCCTCCTCACAGAGAGTTTTTCTGTTTTGTGAGCAAAGAAACCAAATCCTGCCAACGAGAAAAAAACCTACCAATTTTGGTGGGAAAAGCCCAAAACGGCAACCCTGACCACAGCCTCACCATTCTGGTTAGCCAGTTAGTCCAAAAAGCGTTTCTTTCTCGAAGATGACAGCAGAAATGAAAGAGCAACTCTCAGTGAGAGTGACTCTTTCCAGTTCAAAGTTACAAGCTTTAGTCGGAAGAATTTTTGCTGGCAAAATCTTAAAAAGTGTCAAACTCAACTGAATTTAAATTAACGGAAAGTGAGAACAATCTCAAAACTAAAAAAAAGTGAATTTGAAAATGGAAGAAGGCAAAAAATGATTGATATACATAGTAAGTGTTTATTGTGCTTGTGTAAATGTGTTTTGTACATAAATTTCTATTTTTATTTGACATTCGTTTTGTTGTTGCCATTATTTCGACTAAAAATTAGGTTTTTTGCGTTCGTTTATTTTTTCCTGTTATTCTCTTTTAGTGAGCGCATTTTCCTTACGCTCCTGCATTTTGACACTTCAGATTTTAGTCAGAAAAGATAAGGAACGGACCTAATATGTATACGTTGCCATCTCCGTATGGCTCACTTCCCTCGCCCTGCGCTTTCGCGAGCTCGCAGTTGCCCGTGTTGTGGACTGCGTGCACCTCTGCTATGAAATGAAAGTGAAATCATCGATAAAGTGCTTTTTAATTAATTTAATATTCCCCATATGCATTTATTTTGAGAAACAACAAAACCACGTAAACCACCCAGCATTTTATTTTTTGGGAAGGAGTTTTTTATATCAATGGCAATGAATTAACTGCAATGGCAATAAATTTTAAATTTATTCGATTACCTCCAATGACATGCACATGTAAAAATAATGCATTCTGTAAACGAAAAGGTAAGCGATTACTCTCAAAAAGTGGTTCCCCAATCGAAAGTAACCGCTAACCATTTCGATTACAGAATGCATTATTTTAACAAAAAATTAAAAGTCGTTGCTGTGCATATTTGCCCAAAAAGGCTATCTGCAGTTTGCTTCTAACATCTACATACCACAATTTGGAAATAAGGTTCAGCACCGAAATGCGAAACCCTGACCTTGCGTTCAAGCAAAATAACAACGAGATTAGCAAAAGCCTGTTGCACTTGCCGGATGCTCTACATATGTATTTACATTTTGGATTAAAACGACAAATTTTTTCCTTTTTTTTTGTTTGTAAATATGTACATAGATATGTACATATGCATGTATGTATGTGCGAGGATATATATGTGTACATACATACTTGCGGTGACCATCCGTCCTGTATTGTACGGGACAGTCCTCTTTTTTTCGTCAGTTATCCTGGTAATTTATTTATATTATACGGGACGCCAAATGTTCTGTATTTCTTTTTATCTCCCTTACTTGTCCCGTTTTCGGCATTTTGGCGCCTTAACAGCTCATAAAAATGACATGCGTATGAACCAGTTTTTATTTTTAAATCTGGACGTTTGTGATTCGAATCGAGGAGAGCATATGTAGATGGTGTCTGAAGTTATAATTTTGCGTAGAAAAACTGGGTATTTGTGGGTAGGAATAGAAATTAGACATTAATGATTTTTGTTAAAATTTCTAAAAGAAATTTCACTAATATTTAGCTTTTCAAAGGTTTCAATTTCAAACTTTGTTTACGTATATAGATTTCAAAACCAACAAGAAAATGCACGCAGCTTGCTGTTCTCAGGTACAATTACCTCTACAAATAAGAAGGCTACTATGAGAATGTTGTAAAAGTAAAGAAGTTCTCAAAGATGGAAGGGAAGTGGAACCCTTCGAAGGTACGCTTTGCAACTCAGCTCGTTCCGGATGATATTCACTGCATTGTGCTTGGCCTAAATCCGAGTTTGAAAATAATCCGTTGAATACCACTTGTGCTTCAAAAGTAGTCGGATATTTTCCCTGCCTAGGAATGTTTGTAACAAATTTTACGGTGTAAAAATCTCGAGCACAAAGTGCAAAGTTATCGAAAAATCTTCTACAAATGTGTGATGATGCAACTGAATATTTATGTGCTGCGTTCACAAAATGTGCTAAATAAAGATGCTGTTTCAGGGCTAAAAAATCTAGGATAATTGAAAAAGATTTTCAAATACTCTAGCTTTTGTGGCAAAAATTGGCAACATTATTTTTTGTCCCATATTTGGCTGCCATAAATATGGTCACCGTATACATAGTAACTATATACACCCTCAGTGATAGAGTACATTTCACTTCTTTAAACACTACATATGCTAGTACATATTTATGAGTGCACTCATAGTCTCATGGAATTCCTGCTGCTCATCATTTACAATCGCGTGTACTATACGTTATCTCATTCTTTTTATTGATTGCTAACGATTCACGGTTATCAGTTGCCCATTACTTGACAACAAGACTTGCCTGCCGCCTAAGTCGTTCGCAAAGTCATTAATTTCAAAGGAAGTTCAAATTAAAGACATTTGGCGATAATACTTACGTTGAAGTACAGCCATCGCTGGCTAGCGGAGCTGTCATATGGCAATGTTATTTATATAGTTTCGTTTTTGTTTGTTTACTCATCAAACTGCTTAAGATATTGTTTGGGTTTTGGTGATAAAATTATAAAAATTATT